TTTTGCAAGGTTTCATAGGTAATAATTCTGCTCAGAGATTGGATCCAACTAGAAGTTCAATTCAGCCTCATTTACTGGAAGAAGAACTGCTTTCAGGTAACTCTGTTGAAATGATCTCTGAACAGAAAAGGTTAAGTAATTTATCTATTTTTTAATGAATACTTGAATATAAATGTGTAGAACACGTGTCACTAAAAGGACGCTTGGTCCAAAAGTCATGAGCAGCTGGACTCACTAGATCTTTGGAGCGATGTAATGAATCTTGATGCAGTTTTTATCAGCCACCACCATGTCGTCGGTAGCTCTGGTGTCCGCTCCTAGAACCACTCCATCCTGAGAAGCAGAGAGGACAGACCGCAGCCTCAGCAGCTGACCTTCATCAGATCACAGCAGGCCCCTGAATGTGTACTTCACAGGCCTCCAGCAGGAGGGCTCTACCTTATAAACCATCCCAGCGATGGTGGTCCCCGTCTTCCTGGCACTGGGGGCTTTGTAGTTCCCCTCCAACAAACTGGACTCCAGAACTGCATTCCTGGAAGAGATCGCGGCGTTTGGCCCAAGAAGCAGACATTACTTCTGTGGTTTCAGGTGTAAGGCAGGAACTTCCGGGCTTCTGTTGGGAATGAGAAAAGCTGGTTTACCTGCGGCTGTTCTCGAAGCAGAAGCCTCCATCCTGCTTCTGACAGGGGTTCAAAGTGTGAAGCATGTTAGGCAGAAGGTCGAGAGCCTGAAACAAAGCTGCTGCTGGCTGTGTGTCCTGCTGTGTCACAGCTTTACAGACGGATTTACTTTTACTTTCACTTGTTTAGCACAAGCCAAGCCTGCTGATCAACGCTGTAAAAAGAGATCCGGACCTGATGAAGGTCTGGTTTCACACAGCTGAAATGAGCCTTCAGCAGAAAGCTGCTGAAGGTTGATAGGAGAAGGAAGACATTGCTGGTTTCTGCTTTGATCCTCACCAACAGAAACAACCCGACATCCAGAGCCAGAAACCCAAGGTTCAAACTTTTTACAGTGGATTCCTCACATGTGACCTGGGAGGAAGAAAACCTGATGCTGACTCAGGGAGGGATGGACTCCAGATTAACTGTAAGAATTTCCTTTTCCTGTTATGATCCTATTTTCTGGACCTTTTGTTTCTGTTTAAGTTTATATTTTTGGGGTTCATAAGTTAAGTCTAGATTCAGATCATTTTTGTATTCTTGGTTTCGCTCTTCCTAGTTTTTTTTTTTCTTCAACATTTTTAGTCTTATTTATTCTTTGGTCTAGTTATAGTTATTCTTTCTCTTATCTTTAGGTGATTTTTTTCCTTCAGTTATCTCCAGTTCCTTCTCTTATCCTTTAGTTTTCCACTTGGTAATTCTTTTTTTTGTAGTCATTAGTTTTATTCCCCTTTAGCCTTATTGAAGTTATTTTTAGTTACCTTTAGATCCTGTTGTTTCTTCCTGGTTATTCTGTGCTGCCCCCTAGTGTCCTTTCCTTTCCCCTAAGCTCCTTCTAGTTACTCCTGTTTACACCTGCTCCCTATTAGCTAATAATTCCTCTCATTGTTTCTCTCTCCCATATATACACCTCCTGTTCAGTTCCTCATTGCTGGATCCTCGTCATTCTTTTGGTTTATCTCTTCTTAATTTCTATTTGTTTGGTTCTTGAGTTTTCTTGTTGATTAGTACTGGACTATGAGTTCTGGATGTTTAATTCTTTACTAAATGTAGCAAATAATCATCTCTGCCTCTACACTGCATTTGGGTCCAATACAACCTCCACCAACCCTGACATTTCCTTACTGATATTTTTTAAACTAAATGATCTGAGATTTTTCACTTAAAAACCCAGTTGCATACCAGTCAGTAACAGTTACCACATGACAAAAACTATAAGCCCATTTCAGGGCTGCAAATGTTCTGATTTAGAGAAAGGAACCAATGAAAACAGATTAAACCGAACAGCTTCGTAAATGAAGCTTTATCAGAAAGATGGGATCCAATCCTAATGCCATGCCAGGGACCTAGATGAGGATAGAAAAAGGACCTCAAACACTCTCAGAATTCTATAACTCAGAATTCTGAGATTAAATTCAAAACTTTAATCTCAGAATTCTGAGATTAAAATAAGAATACTTTGGAAATAAGTCAGAATTCAGACTTTTTTCCCATATTGAACTGAAATCATATTTAAAAATCAGTTAACCTTTTTTTATTTCTTCAGCGGCTCTAATCCTCTTCTGTTAAGATGCATCAGGTCAGAAGCTGCTGACTCATCGGTTCGGTCGGTGTTCAGAACGCGCCGGACTGCAGGCTCCTCCTCGGTCTTTCGGTGACAGAACTCTCCCATCTCCATTCTCTGGTTGAACAAAACGTAGATTTCTCTTACAACATTTTAACAAATCTATGATAACCAAAATTAGGATAAATTATTTGAAATTCCCAATTCCTCCTAAATATAAAGAATTACAATTTAAAATAATATATAATAATAAATATCCTTCAAATGAGTACGTAAGAGAGAGATTTAAATTCAATGTTTGTAATTGTGATTTCTGTACAACTCAATTGGAAACTACTAATCATTTGTTTTATGAATGTAAAGAAGTAAGAAACCTATGGGATCAACTTCAGATCTTTTTAACTTCTAGATCTATAAATGTGGACTTTAATTCCTTACAAATGATTCAGTTTGGTTTATATATGAATGAAAAAAAAGTGGAATTCATAGTCAATGCTTTGATGATTATAACCAAATATTATATCCATAAATGTCGTCATGCAAAATGCTCCCTCTCATTCTCTGCTCTCAAAAATCAACTTTCCTCCTTTAACCGACGTCTGAAAAAGATGCAGAAACTTAAAGCAAATAAATTGTCGGATTTAATGGAAGAATTTCAGTCTGTCCCCTCTCCTTAATAATTCAATTATTAGTTGTCGTTTTTTTCTTTTTTTCTTTACTTGTTCTGACCTCAAATTTCTATTAAAGTTAATAAGATGATAATATTTTTTTCTTGGAATGTTCATTATTGATGTAATTTTTGAGATTGTCATTGATATTCTTTGTTTTCATAAAAAAAACGAACAAAAAAAAACTATCTCCATTGCTCTGCCCCACCCTCCACCCCACGTGTCACCGTTACTCTAACCTGATTGGTCGAGCGGGGAGCGAACTGACCTGATTGGTCGAGCGGGGAGCGGACTAGCCTGATTGGTCGAGCGGGGAGCGAACTGACCTGATTGGTCGAGCGGGGAGCGGACTAGCCTGATTGGTCGAGCGGGGAGCGAACTAACCTGATTGGTCGAGCGGGGAGCGAACTAACCTGATTGGTCGAGCGGGGAGCGAACTGCCCTCATTGGTCGAGCGGGGAGCGGACTAGCCTGATTGGTCGAGCTGGGAGCGAAGCGTTGTTTGAATCTGTGTGTTTTCATCCGGACCAAACGGCAGCAGCTCCAAGGCTGAAGCTTCTCCTCTCCTGCTTTCTGGTAAGAAAAGGTTTTAATCGGATGTTTAGCTTCAGTTTCTCTGTGTTTAACTGGGAAAGCAGCTAAAAGGAGCTAACGGTGATTAGCAATCCCTTCATGAATTCACTGCTCAGTTCGGCACATTTAACATGGAAGAGGCTGGTCCTCCTGTGGGCTCTGGTTCTAGTTCTGGTTCTGGTTCTGGGTTTGGAAATAAATGTATTTCAAACATTTTACAAAGATACAAACAGTTTGGTGTTCCACATGGTGCCTCACAATGATTTAGCATCAACAGAGAAATAAAACCAAGGTTATCCAATCTGTCCTCTGCTTGTTATTGCTGCTGCAGAAATGCTTCCCATTTCAATTAAAAAGCTGATGACGCAATCATCTCATTAATTAAACTGAATTAAATCCTTAAATTGATTGAAACGTTCTCAAAGGCTCCAGGACTTTAATTCAATGTAAACAAAGGTGAAATTCAGCCTCTAAAAGATTGTCCCATATCTACTGCTTTAATGTTCCTATAAAATCCAGTGTTAAACATCTGACTGTGCATATGAATAAAATAAGTCTGAATATTTGGGAGAAAATAAAAAATGTAAATCATTTAAATAAATGGCCACACAGAGATTTATCTATTCTGGGAGGAAAAAAGGAAAGTATTTCCAGACTTCTCTATCCTGCAGATACATCCGTTCCAGCCATTAAATCTATCAACAAAACGAATTCTGACTTTTAAAAAAGGTCAAATCAAAAAAGGTCATTTGATTAAACTGTTTGTAGATGGAGGACGACAAACTATTGAATTTGACAGCATGAAAGGCACTTTGAAAATAAAAACCTTAACAAATCAAAATGCATCATGGCTCCATATTCCAGTGATGCTGAGATGAAGCCTCATTGAACCGTTTGGCCAAATTGCTTCAACGATCCCCACAGTTCATGAGGCTCCATGTGAACATGTCACCACCTACTGGTGGACTGTAGAAGTACAATTTGTAATAAAATCTGTGATTTTTTATTTTTTTTGCAACTGTTTTTCTTTTTTCCCCCTTTTAAGTTCCCTTGAAATTATTAATGGTTGGTGTGTATAATAAAATATTTTGTAAGTTTTTTAAAGTGTAAAATTTCTTAGAACAAAAATTTAAGGTTCATAGTTTTTCTGCCATTTAGTGAAATGAACTCAAGCAGACAGTGACAGTGTTTGTGCAAATTGGGCAATGATGAGCAAAATGAAAGGTGTTAGTCATTTTTATTAAAACATGATAGTTTTTCCATGTTTTTTGGTTTTAATTAGGTTGGAAGTTGTGTTCAACCAATCTTTTGGCTGCACCGACCTAATTTACCCAATCTATATTTTTACTCGGGCAAAACAATGCAAATTAGTCTCATCTGCCAAAATAATTAAGTTTAATCGAAATTTTAAAAATTCAAAGACAGATTTTGAACCATCAACCTCTAGAGCGGGAGCCTGACTCTTACAGCTGACGCCACCTAAGTAGACAATCTAACTCTGGTGAAAATACTTCTTAAAGGAATAGTACACCCAAAACATGATTAGCCTTCATTTTCTACTCACCCCCATGCTGAACAACACTCTGGAGTACTTT